AATTCAAAATTTTAAATTTGAATAAATTTGAATTGATAAATAATATATATATTAAATAATAATAATGATATAAATTAAAAATTTTAAATTTGAATAGTTTGAATTGATAAATAATATATATATCAAATAATAATAATAATATAAATTAAAAAAATTTAATTTGAATAAGCTTGAGTTGATAAATAATATATATATCAAATAATAATAATAATAATTAATATAAATTTAAAAATTTAAATTTGAATAAGTTTGAATTGATAAATAATATATATATTAAATAATAATAATATAAATTAAAAAATTTAAATTTGAATAAGCTTGAGTTGATAAATAATATATATAATAATAAGAATAAGTTTGAAATTGATAAATAATATATATATTAAATAGTAATAATAATAATAATATAAATTCAAAAAAGAAATTGGCCAAAATTTCCAAGCCAGATCCCGCGGAGCGCTGATAATAAAAAGGCGGAACAAAAATTAAAACCTCCATTCGACTCTTCCACTGCCACCCGTCGCATTCTGGCATTTATCTCTTCTCCATTTCCTTGATTTTTGGGATCTGAAAAATCGCCATGAATCGCCACAACGATCCCAATCCATTCGATGAAGAAGAGGTCAATCCATTCTCGGTAAGTTTCTATTTCTGTCGTGGCTAAATCTCAGCTCATATAGATCTATGTGCACTGTTTCTCGTTTTTGTTTCATGTTTTACGCGATTTTTATTCGGCTAATGTCGAGATCGGGGGGTTTTTCTATTTTTGAGGTTTGGGAGGGTGGAGGGTGAGGGATGGTTGTTGGATTGTTCTTTTATCTGGATCTGAGGGAGATCTTTCTAAATTTGGAGGAATATTGTTAGTTTATGGCTGCGGAGAAATATCGTGGAGGAATTGTGGGAGTGGTGTGGAACAGGTGAAGAATTGAGTAGAAATTCGTGTTTGAAATTTGAATAATAATAAAAGTAGACATACGGAACTAGTAGTTGTGTTGGAGTACGGATGGAGGCGATTTTCATTATCTAGGATTGGAAACGAGCGTCATTACAATCTGATTTTCGTGTTTGTGTGGGATTGTTCGTTGAATATAAATAAACTGAAAGCAACGTTCTGTTGATTATTGAAAATACTCTACTGATTGACGTACTTTTTACTGACCTGTAACATCTGATATCTGTAAAATTAAGCAAGCTGATTCTTAGGAGGATTGAAATGGTAATAATATCATCTGTCGCTACTGGTTTTGACCTTTGCAGAAAGGTGGTTCTGCTCCTGGATCAAAGTTTCGAATCCCACAAGTGGTGTCGGAAACTCTGGGCTTTGGCCAGAAGCATGATGCAACTGTGGACATACCACTGGATAGGATGAATGTAATTAATATCGTACTCTGTTTTTTCTTGCTTAGAGTCTTTTTTGTCTGGAAGAAGCTTGTAAATGTAATGTTACATTTGGTTTGTGTAGGATCCGAAGACGAAGGAGCGAGAGCTTGCTGCTTGGGAAGCAGAACTTAGTAGGAAAGAAAAGGTTGTTCTATGATATACATAATTTTGTGTTTGCGTGAGAATGGTGTACTACAGCTTGGTCCATAACTTGGCAATATATAAATACATTTTTTGTAATTGTTCACCTATCTATTTCTTTATGCAAGTTGATTTTGTTTTCTTTGATTTTCATCCGCACACTAAATTTATTCCACAGCTAGTTCTTATTTGATATATATATTTTTATCAGCCGCCCAATAACAAGACTACAACAAAATATGATATTTTGTTATTGTGTAGTGGTTACCTAACTGTCGTCATGCTTCTTTTTTTACCAGGAAATTAAAAAGAGGGAAGAAGCTGTTTCTAAAGGTGATTCAAAAATGCTACAAGCAATGACATTGAATGTTGTTTACTTTTGTTTCTATGAAGCTATTGGGTCTATAACTTTTTCTATGTTTTACAGCTGGTGTCCCTGCTGATGATAGAAACTGGCCTCCATTTTTTCCCATTATTCACCATGATATAGCTAATGAAATACCAGTACATGCTCAGAAGTTACAGTACTTGGCCTTTGCTAGCTGGCTAGGTATGCAGAGTTAATTATCTCAATTCATCATCACATCTCATCTTATTAATTATTTTTTGTACTAATGGAAGGAAAGTAGTCTTTTTTTTTTTTTTTAAATGGGGTTTTTTAATTATTATTTATTTATGCTTTGTATTTGAGATGGTAATTGCCATAAATGCCCTTTACAAGCTGTGATAACCGTATCATCATTTGGTCAATTTCCTTATCATTACCAAATCTAGCCACCTATTTGAGATGGTAATGTATGTTGACTATAGAGACTCATTTCCATGCTTTAGTGTTAGCCTTGTCTTCAATGACTTCCGTGTCATGCCACACTTTATATTTGGCAGGCCACTCCCAATCTAACGCGCACTTGTGCACCTTGCACCTCATGCAACTAAGTGGTGTACATTTTTTTTAACAGCCCAATATTTTTTCCTTGTTACTTTCAAAACTGCTCTTTTCAGGTTTTCTTTTCCCATTGCCGCTTGTTATCATGGGCAAACTACCCCCCCCCCCCCCCCCCCCCCCCCCCCCCCCCCCCCCCCCCCCCCCCCCCCCCCCCCCCCCCCCCCCCCCCCCCCCCCCCCCCCCCCCCCCCCCCCCCCCCCCCCCCCCCCNCCCCCCCCCCCCCCTCTCCCCCTCTCTTTTCTGTTATCGTATAAACTTTATATCCAAATATTTAGTTTAAACATTCTTGAAAGAGTGGCTTTTCTATGTGTATATGATGTTCTTCACCTCACTCTAGTTCTTGCTTCAGTTAGCACTTCATTGTTGACAATTTCTTAAGCATATGTCATGCAACATAGTTATTTTTAAGTTTACATTTTTATCCTTCGCTACTTTTGCAGGTATAGTGTGGTGTTTGGTCTTCAACGTCGTTGCTATAACTGTCAATTGGATAAGAGGCGGGGGTAATTACTTTACTACCAATTTTGTTTTTTATGCAATGGTTTTTACTTTAAGCTGCAACTAGTTTTTATTTTTATTGTTATCACAACTTGCAGGAGTCGTAATCTTTTTCCTCGCTGTAATATATTCCATACTTGGGATTCCTCTTTCATATGTCCTGTGGTACAGGCCTCTATACCGTGCTATGAGGTGAGAGTGAATAATCTTTATATCTCCTTTATTCGCTCGTTGTCATTGGGTTAAGAGGCTTCTTTTGTTATATTATTGTTTAATAACCTAAGATGCTATTTTTATATTTGCTCGTCGTCTTTGTACGCATAGACAATTTGCTGAATGCTGATGGTATTTTGCGTTGCCCATTGTATTTAACTTGCAGGACGGATAGTGCCTTGAAGTTTGGTTGGTTCTTCATGTTCTACTTGGTATGAATAGTAAACACTATCTTTCTTTCTCAAGATAAAGATCTTTTATATCCTTTATTTTATTTAGTAGTCAATTAACTGAGTCTCCACCACCGTACAGTTACATATCTTATTTTGCATTTTTGCTGCCATTGCGCCTCCGGTTGTGTTTCACGGGCAGTCATTGACGTAAGTTTATTGCTGATTAATTTCATTTTTAAGCTTCTAATATGCTTCAACTTCATAATGTTCATGAAATGAATTCTCATTCTACTGCCTACAAAAGTAGTAGCCCCTTTTATTATTTTTGTTGCGCCTTATTGCGTCTCCATACTGCTTGCATTGTGCTAAATATATGTCCAAATATTTTCAGGGGCATCTTAGCAGCAATTGACGTCTTCTCTGCGCATGTCTTGGTTGGGGTAAGTTTTGAATAGATAAGAACATACAACTACAAATTTCTTTATCTAAAAAGAGAATTAGAATGGTGAACATACAAATTGGGGTGTGCATATTTTTAACGCCTATGCTCTTTAAACTGCTGTACCAATAGAATCATTATTTTAACATTGTATATGACTTCAATATGATGGAAAATTAGATTCCTATTATCTATTATTATTAACGCTTATTCTATTCCCAAGTTTGACTAACATTAAATTCCTATTATATCTTGCAGATATTCTACTTAATTGGATTTGGCTTTTTCTGCTTGGAATCGCTTCTTAGTTTGTGGGTCCTTCAGGTTAGAACACGAGCATCTTTATTATAATTCTAAACCAAATTTCAAACTCAAAATCAAGCTTTTTCCCAAAATTTGCTTGGTTTTAATGATTTAGAGTTTAACTGTTCCCAACTCAATATAATTGGATTAATATGCCATGCATCATCTTTTGTATTACAGTTCCAAGCAACGATTTAAACCTTCTTCATCTTTTTTGCTGTTTGATAGGATTCTCTGTATCTTACTAGTTTTTCCCTCTCTTTTTTGGCAGAAAATCTATTTGTACTTTAGGGGAAACAAGTGACTTGAGTGAGGAGATTACGCCACGGTTGCGACGTCGCACCAGTTAAATTTTCAGGTTATCATTTCTTGTGATGGTGATTGTATTTTAGGATGTTGGTGATTTTTTTAAATGAGCTGAGAGTGAGAGATGTGGATTCTAAAGTTGATACTGATGATGTGATATAAATATATAGTTTTGTGCGAATTTGTTAATTGTATTTTAGCATATGCTCGTTCTTATGATGTGCAAAATTATCTAATTTAAGCTGTCACATTATTAGAAAAATAGCCTTTAACTTAGATCTTAGATTTTAATTGTATTTTAATTCTTAGATCTAAAGTGCAATTTATATTGAATAAAATCTAACAATTAATACTTAAAAATAAGCTAAATATAAATTAATTAAATCTTAAGAATAAAATAAAATATATTACTAATCAAATATTTAAGGTATATTCATATTAATTATTATAATATATTCTAATAAAAACAACCAAAAACTCAAATTACTAAGAAAACAACTTAACCCATCACATAAAAGAACTATAACTTCACAACTCGTCGTTCCAAAGGGAGAACGAATCCATACCCTTTCGATGGTCAGTCTCATCGATCAAAGACAAAGAATCGAAACTACACAAACATTCATTGAGAAGATGAGAAATAATTACAATTAATCAAAGATAAACATAAAAGTTTAGTTAAAGCAATTAGGTAAGAGGATCATAACTATATTGATTTATTTTTGTGTTCTAAGGCTAAGGATCATAAGTATAGGCATAATGATGTGATGGATGTGAAGAATATACAAAATGAGGAGAGGACTGTGGATGATAAATATAATGAGGTGGGGACTGAGTATGATGAAGATCATCCACTCTGTGTGGTGGTGAAGGAGAGCTCAGTTCACTCACTGAACTGTCATCATGAACTGGAGATTTTTGTTTCTCTACCTTAACCTCTGCTAACTCTTCTTCCTCAAAAGACCTGAAAATGGGATGCAAGTATGCATCCGCTAAGAATGCTTTTACGTCGGGTTCCGTGCTCTTCTCCAGTGTATCTCTATCCATCGCTTCCTAAAAAAGAAAAAAAACAATGGACGATAAAGACTTTTGGAAGAATGGTAATGATTACTTGTTATAAACGCACTCTCAAACTGTAACATCTTAAACCCACCTCTAGCAAATATTGTCCTCTTTGGACTGTCCTTTCGAGCTTTCCCTCAAGGTTTTGAAAACGCGTATACTAAGGAGAGGTTTCCACACCCTTACCATATAAGGAATGTTTCATTCCCCTCTCCAACCGATGTGAATCTCACAATCCACCCTCTTTGGAGGCCCAGCGTCCTCGCTAGCACACCGCTCGGTGTCTAGCTCTCATACCATGTAATGACCCAAACCCACCGCTAGCAGATATCGTCATCTTCGGACTTTCCCTCAAGGTTTTTAAAATATGTCGGCTAGGGAAAGATTTTCACATCCTTATAAAAAATGATTCGTTCTCCTCCCCAACCAACGTGAGATCTCGCACAAACTTTCAATTTGAGTAATATAATTAACCTCTTAACATAAGTATCAAATACATGTTGGTTAAGATCCTTTTCAGCAACTAGATTTAAAGTATGTAGACTTTACCTCGAGAGGGTATTTACGAAATGCGGGTTCGAACCGGTTCTTGCAGTACTTGTGGAAGAATAACGTCAATATCGGTAAGGCGACAAGCAGCGGAGTTGAATTGGCAGCCTTTTTTGTACTGAGCAAACCCAATAGAAGTAGTTGAGATATCAACAAGCTTGCTATGATGCGGCTGTGGACATGAGGCCAGAAGGCACCAACACTTTCATATTGCTGATTATATACATTGATGATCTGCACAAATTAATCCACATTTACGATATATGATTCAGTAAGAGGATCACGTAAATCCCCGCAAGTCAACCATGTTCTTTTTCGATCACAACAATGAAATACTACGTAATATGTAACGAATAGTCATATAATCGAACCAAATGCCGGGTGACAAACCTGATGGCGGTAAACCAAGTATGCAAATGCGAAGAAGACGAGTATAAACGGGAGAAGAATCGGGGTGACCACAGCATAGACAATTCCCAGTAAGAAGTACAGTTGTAAGCTCGGTAAAGTTTCGGGGAATTCAACACTTCCTGGGTCCATTGCCTTCTCTCTATCTCTATCAGTTTTCACTATAAACAGATTCTTGAGATGAAAGATGACCAGCGGTTTCAACCGAAGAATCTCGCTCGCTATTCCAGCCCACCCATCAACCATTATATATGTAATAAAGAATGTAGCCTTCATCGGTATGGAAACTCCAATCGTTCGGGGAATTCTGCGAATCGATTCGACGAGAAACACGTCAATTATGCATAATTAGAAGAATATGATTGAAGGATCATTGAATGTAGGGTGTGAAGCATTACTGGGTAGGAGATTGGTGAATGAAGGAATCCAGTTGCTCAAAAGCTGTACCAGTCACAATACTTCCCAAGAACACATTCACCAGCATGAAATAATAGTACTTAGCCGCGGCCCTTCGTTCGAGCATCGAAACCGCTACATGTCCCTCAATTTTCGACATGATCATTAGAACTGTTGGAAGTATATATAGAAAGATTTTGAGAGCCAAACCAGGAAGGAAACCCTGTAAAAATGACTTGACAAACTTCCTGTACAACATAACCATTCAATTCAAACAATCAATCTTTGAATATTTCACATTAGGAAGTAGTAATCAAATGGAACATGATCAAGGAAGTTGACTTACAATTCTATCACCGGCCTTAGGAACGGGGCAACTCGTTCGAGACCTTCCAGATTGGCTAGTGATTGTACGAAAGCAATTGGTATCATGTAGAAGAACACGAGAGCGAAAACCGACAAGGATATGATTAGTTTTCTGATGCTTAGAGAAACAAATGGTATCGCAAGGTTCTTCCAGTAAACATCACGAGGTTCCGGAGCCCAATTCGACAGCCATAACGTGGGATTCTTACTCTGTTGAGTCTGTGCACAAACTGCGGCGCCCCAACGAGTATTAAACGAAACGAAAGCAACTGGTAATATTTCTTTTGAATCTTTGATAATTTTCTGTCTCTCCAATGCCATCTAACACATGGGGATTCACAAACAAAAATGTAAGGAATTCAGTTCTTAAAATGTTGGAAAACTATTGAATCTGCTTTCGTGACTTACTCTAGCATCGAGATCCCTAATTTGTTGTTTGTAGTATTCGATAGAATCGACTCTGCTACCACAAAGTCCGAAGCATCCTACCTGAAAAAAGAGTTCAAATGGTCAAAACTCGGCCATAACAACGTGCTTATAGGTTTGCAGTCGATGTGATTCACTGAGAAGTAAAAGATCAAATTCAAGTCGATCGATACCTTTCTAGTCGGTCTCTTGTCGGGATGTCTTTCAAACTTAAGTAGATTGTAGTCCAACCAATTCTGGAACCTTGCTCTTTTTTTTGCTAGCTTAGCAAACTTGTTGGCATTATATATGGCCTAAAAACAAGAAATGGCTTAAAAAACAAATGTCCGATAGAGAAACCGTGCACGGGACGCTGGGAATCATGTCCAGTTTGCTTACCTGATGAGAAAGATAATGTTCGGGATGATTTTTATGAAAGAACTGATCGATGGTATCTGAGGTCGAGCGACCAGAAACATGTGGCACGTTCCTAACCAACACCTGCAAAAGATTTAGGTAGACTTTTGATTGAAATAGGAATCTCTAATTCAAGTTCGTGACATGTTCCACAAGATTCAAAGAACGAATATCAAGCAATAAAGCTATTCACTCACGGTGAATTGCTCGGCACGTCTGCGTTGAGATGCCAAGAAATTCATTCTCATTTGTGCTACGTTGTCGTATTCTTTGTAAAGCATGAAACAAATCCACAGGGTGAACAAATACTCCAATCCTATATGAACAAAAAACCTGAAACTCAAACGTAACAAATGTAATGATACTATCTAATCTGCATTCTCGAACACGAATATAGATAGTAAAGCTCAGGATTCGTCGTTCATGATGACAAGACAAGCTCACCTTATAGATTCGGGACTAACATTCGATATCGATAGCTTATCAATGTCACTTACAACCAATTCTTTCCTCAAGAAGAACAGTGTTCCACTAGACACATTGACTGGGATAAGAACAACAAGAGCAACAATGGCGATTGGGAAGAATATCTTCAACCTGCGATTAAGCATAGATAAGGAAAATCCTTAAGAATTTTCACTTGATGGCTTATAAAAGCAAAATCATCATGAACAGCAAATAAACGCATACGAATAGCCAAAATTCCCAAACAGTAATGATTCACAATGCAAAATACTGCTCAAATTCAAAATCAAAATCAAAATCAAGCCAAGAACAATAACAGAGAGAAAGAACACTAAGAGAATCATCTACAAAAATTCACAAGAAATCAGCAAAAAGAGGCAAACTACAAACCCGAGAGTGTAAATTCTGAGAAAAACAGCAGAATCAAACCCAGCGTGACTAATAATTTCAGCCTCACTCATCTTCAAAGCCGCAGGCATCCAGTTCAAGAAAGTGAGATAAGTCAAAATGTTGAGATTAACATATTTCCCGACGAAATTCCTCGAGCCTCGCGGGCTATTTCGGCCGCCATCGATGTACCATTTTGGAAAATAAACTCTGTCGTTAATCGGTTGAATTCGCAAGAGAGCAAAAGCAAGAAGAAACACAAAAGCAGTGATGATATTGATTAACGCAGAAACTCCAATATCACCGAGAGTCGCCATGGGAGGTCTGAGAAGCTTTTAGATAGAGAGAGAGAGAAGTAAATGGATGAAGAAGAAGAAAGGAATAATGGAGGAATTTGTTGAGGTTCTTGATGAAATGGATAATCAACGGAAGGATTGGAGTGTGAAAAGGAATTTTTGGATTGTGGGTTTTGATTATTGACTTCATCAATGCGCCATTTCATTTCTATTAGTTTCAGTGCATGTGCACTGAGAGGAGAGAGAGAGAGAGAGAAAGACAGATGAGAGAGAAATACAGAGGAGAGAGAAAGAAGTGGCTCTGGCTTTTTCTCTCTAAAAGTGGGAATTTTTTTTATTAAATTGGCTTTTTTTCTTTTTTTTTTTAATGGAAATTATTAAATACAAAAGGAAAGTTTTGAGAGTTTAGGGCCTATAAAAATTTGTTATTTCGAAATTATAAAAAAAATTATATTTAAATAAAATTTTATTAGGTGATTTGTATTTTTGGTAATTAAGTGAGCTAATTTTACACATTACGAACATTAGGGTAATGTTTTTCTATCTAGTTTTTCGGGTATAGTTGTAACATTCCTGTTACATTAATGATTACCCGAAAGTTTATACGTCATCTAAGTAAAAGAATTGGGACCACAAATGAGTGTAATTTTAAGAATAAGATGACTAAGAAAAAGTTCTCTATTTATAATCAAATAGATTACAAGGATATGAAAATAGTAATAAACGAAAATAACAATAAATGGAAAATACCTATGGTAAATGTCTTATAATAAAATATCAAATATGATATATATGGTAAACTATAATTTATTATTAAATATCCTTAACACTAAAAAAAAGTAAGTTACTGCATATACCAACAAGATGTATCTTCCTTTCTTTGTTGGCTCAGTCATAGGAACTAAGTTGTGGTTTAATTTGAGCAATTATATGTTGGGTAAGAAGAAAACATGTTGGAATGACTCGTATTGGTTTGTAATGATAGTTTTCACTATTGAAAACAAGGAGTAACATGACCATGTCGTAGGGGATGCAGAGAAATGTCAGAGTCATTAAGTGTTGAATATAGACTCCGAATCTTGAGCGTGGGTCGTTATAGTTTAACACAAACATAAAGTTATAAATGAGTTTCATGTTTAAGTGTTAATCAAAACAACCGACTTGAAGATGAAAGCAGAAGATAAGTAATTGAGAATTTATTATTTATTCTCACACAAATTCAAGCATTTGTGTAGCTAAAATGTACCCGAATTAAATAGAGACTAATCTCACAAAGTAAAATAGTAACGATTGCGTAATATCAATTTATCGGCCTCGTCATCGAAAGCGTAATCGAGCCGATCAATAATTCTACGGAAGGTCAGGTCCCATCCAGGCTATATAACTCGAAAATCGGGATCGGGACTTGGATGGTGAGCAAAAACAATTGATCAAGAAGTTGGTCAACTTTTGCATGAAAGAAGGGAATAAATGTAAACGAAATACATGAATGAATCAAGACTACATCAAAATAAGAGTAATACTGATAATAAAATAACTAATAAATATTTAAAACAATTAAATACTAACAGGCGTGGGTGTGGAAGGAAGAATAAAGCTAAAAAGTCAACAGGCTATGGCGGCGTCGCTGTCAATATTCGAATGGTTTTCACGCCCCGGGAAAGCTGGGCGTTGACGTGAGGGAACCTAAATTAGCGCCTACTTCCGTCTTAATTAATTAATTAACTGTTTTAATTATGTCCTTAATTTCTTACTAAATAACTCCGACTCCAAGAATTTGATTCTTTGTCTGATTTTGGAAATAAATTAATTAGTGAATAATTAGAGGTTGAAAATATCATATGTTCAATTTTTCTCATTCACATGTTAATAAATTAAAAAAAAATATTTCTTTTTTCCATTTCTTGAGAAAATAATAAATTTCATAACCTCTGTCCATTTGTTCCTTTGTCAATATGAACACATGTCAATAGACGAACACACGTACTCTCGATGGCTCGAGGTACGATATTTTATCATATTTAAATAATTTTTTTTAATAATTGTGGATAATCATCGTCACGTCCATTTTCATCTAACATTCTAACAAAATTTTACTTTCAAGGTCGTTTTAAAACACCTCTAAAACATCAATATTGCAATTTTTTTTTTAACGAAGAGGATAATTTTTAAATAATAAATAAAGTTATTATAAATTATAGTTAGTATTTAATATTTAATATTTTATTATAAAGTAAATATCTAGATATTTGGTTTCTTACCATATATATCTTTTTATTTATTATTATTTCGTATCTTTGTAATTTATTTATTCTCTCTGATGGATTGAGCAAACATACTCAATAAATAGGTTTGTAATTTAGCCTATTATTAAAAAAGTTACAACACTTTTATTTATATATATATATATTTGTTAGTGGACCATAATTATATGATTAAAAAAATAAAAAAAATAAAAAGAAAGGAGCTTCTCATTAAAGGAAAAAAGTGGTTTTGCTAAGTGGTGGCAACGTGGGATGATAATTAATTAAAAGTGACTAAAGTGTGTTCTTTTGATTTATGCTTTCATTTGATCTGATGCCCTTTCAAACCATACTCCCACAAAGGAATAATTTAATTTTATTTTTTTTAATATATTGTCACAAACAACCATTAATTTATTTAAAAGTTATTAAATTCCACATCATTTAAAAATAATAGTAATTCATATAAATAAATAAATAAATAAATCTTTTCATTTTATTAGAGGGAGGTTAAAGTCCTATTTTTATTACTCAAATTTATTATTATTAAAATAAATTTTATTTTGGAATTTCACATATTTAGTTATTCAAAATTAAAAAAGAAAATAAACTTATATATATATATATTTTTTTTTTTTCTTTCACATAAGTATTAGAACGGGTGTGCCCATCTTTTAGGTTAGAGCTTCTCTTTATAGTAGAAATTTATAGTAGAGTCACGTGAATATCAAAGATAGGGACTATGATCATTGTCTCGACTCCGTTTTTTTATTCCTATTTCAATATATATTTATAAATATTCAAAACAATTTTAAAAAATGAAAGACGAAAAAGTCACACCACCGCTCAATCTTTGCCCTCTTAAGACTAAACATACAACCTACAAATTAATAATTTCTTACAACGAAGACCAAATTTTGAAACCAAATTTGCTTATTCTAAAAATAATTATTAAACGTACGATAAATTATTTTTTTTTTTTTTGGAATTTTGCTTAAAAATTGCAAGAATAAGAGTAGTTTGTTCCAGCACAGTGTGGGACCCACTACGCATGCTAAGTCCAACGCACTCGTGATTGCGCCACAGATTCTCCATAACGGCCGAGTTGGGACCACACGCAACTTTGTTATTTAATTAATTTATTTATTTATTTATTTTGTATATAGAAAATTAAAATTGGGCCGGGCTCCATTCTGGCTTGGGCTTTAGCCTGCGTCTCACGGGCTAAAGGCCCAACTAGAGAATTTCGTACCATTTTTTTTTTTAATATTTATAAAACTATTTATTTGTTGGTTGTTTTTATTTTTGAAATTATTTATTTTAAATCGTAAATAAATTAATTAAAATTATAATTTGTTCTTTTTATTACTTTTTTTTTTTAAATTATAATACCTGTATATTGTGAGTGGGACAAAATTAGGTAAATTTGGCATATGACTGATTGCCACCTAGTTTAAACTGGACACGTCAGCATTTGAGTGTGCCACCTAACCCTCCAAAATGGGAAACAAAGTACAAACAAAAAGTCTTTTCTTCTTCTATTGGTAGTTGCGTCTCTTCTTACACTTCATTTTAGCATTACTTTTGTGACATATTCGTTTAATATAAACTAACTTAGAGTTAGAGAATTAAATTAATGTCATTTTTTGATTCATTGTTCGTATAGATTGGAAAAATCTTTTGAAAACCATAAGCTTCCCTCTAGAGGCTTGTGGGAGCTCTCGAATAGCCTCTCCTTTCTCTGGAATAATCTTTCAAAACTATAAGTCTCCCCTTAATCAAACTTCGACTCCTTTCTCTTGAGCTATTGAACAAAAAATAAAGTACACCCTTTGTTCGATATTTGAAGTTAGATGAACACGACTCTTTACAATTGTACGATATTGTCCACTTTGAATATAAGCTCTCGTGGCTTTGCTTTGAGCTCCCCCAAAAGACCTCATGCCAATAGAGAGAGTATTCTTTGATTATAAACACATAATCTTCCACTAAATTAACTAACGTAGCATGTGGTAACTGGACTCCACTTTTTTAAATTTATGAACGTAGTAACCCTCTTTTTTTAAATTGAAATCAAATTATTTTTCAAAATATTTGTGGAGGGTATGTTGGTAATTGAGTTTTTTTTTTTTTTAATTCAAAATGCAATATCTATACAAAAGTGAAATTTCTGTAATAAAATAGAAAAAGAAGGGTATTTGTGTAATTAATACTAAACATGAATTAATTTGCAAAGCTACTTAAATTGGGCCTGAAGTAAACGAAATGGGCCAAGCTTCACCGTTCCAGGCGAATATTTCGGTTCTTGCATTATTATAATTTTATCACCATATCTTAATTTATTAATTGCAATAATTATTTAAAACATTTAAGTAAGCTAATTACATTTAAATATTTGACATACTTACAAATATCTGATTTTTTTAATAAATTTTAAATAGTATCCAATAAAATACACAGGTGAAATATATAATTTATATTAGGCTAAAATAATATAATTTCTCTCCCTTTTAAAAAAAAATATTCATAAATTTTCAAAATTTTCAATAATACTCTCAAACTTTTAAAGATATCCTTCAACTCTGGGTGTTTTAAAAATATCCATGATTTTTTTTAAGCTCAAAAGTATTTTTAAATATTTAAAAATAAATAAAAAAATATCTTTAGTAATGGATTTAAAAAATAATTTTCAAAAATAATATTAAAAATTTTAGAGATATTCAACGTAGGGTGGTTAAACAGTTTTTTGGTCCATATTTAGATGATAAATTTTTTTAGTATTAATGTTATTATTATTATTATTTTAAATATAATATAATAAAAAAAAAAAAAGGGTATTTTTGAACTTTTAAATTTTTTTTTTATAGAGTATTAATAAAACTTTTTAAATATGTTTAAAATAAAGTATAGACCATAATTAATATATAAAATGTAATTATTAAAGGATATTATTTTCAGTAATTTATATAAAATGTAATATTTATTACAATTTATTTGAATTAAAGGTTCCATTATAATTTCAAAACTGTATTATTTTAGTCCTACATTCTCAATTTTTT